TACAGACCTATTAGTTTGTTGCCCATGATTGGCAAACTCTTTGAACGTTGCCTGCTTATGAGACTGCTGTCCATTGAAAGGATTAAACAAAAAATTCATCCCTTTCAGTTCGGGTTCCGAAAATCCCATGGCACACCAGAACAACTAAATAGGGTTGTGAATTTTATCTTCGAGGGTTTTGAAGCCGACATAAAGCAAGCCTTCGACAGAGTCTGGCATGATGGACTACTCTGCAAAATCAAGCCCTTATTGCCACCTCAACTTTATTTGATTGTGCGAAGCTACTTGACAAAACGATCATTTTCGGTAGTGCTCGATGGGGTTGAGTCCAACATCAAGGCCATCGGGGCTGGCGTTCATCAAGGCAGTGTGTTGGGGCCCACGCTCTACACCCTCTTTATATATGACAGGCCCACTGGCGCTACACCCTGCAGCAATACCAACACAAATTTCAAATGTGGGCTAAACGTTGGAATATTGGCATTAATTTAAATAAATGCGCGAATGTGACCTATGCGCTCCGCAGGGATATATGTCCGGGAGTCTTCTTGCGCGATCAATTATTGACGCACCACAACAGCTACAAACACTTAGGGGTGCACTTAGACAGGCGTTTGACCTTTAGTAAACACATCGCAAGTATCACAGGAGCCCTGAAAAGCAGATTATGCAAATTTAGATGGCTGCTTAACAGTAGCATCGCGCTATCTTTAAAAAATAAAGTTATCATCTACAAAACCTGCCTAGCTCCGCCTGGCGTTATGATATTCAAGTTTACGGTATTGCTGCAAAATCCCGCCATACGAAAATCAGGGTGTTTCAAGAAAAAACGCTCCGCTATCTGTCTGGTGCCCCCTGGTATATGCGAACTTCCGATTTGGAAAAAGACTTACAAAGACATACAGGCTGCAAACTCCACAACGCGACTAGCAAACCATCCAAATCGTCTGGCTAGGCGTCTTCTAAAGAGGCGTAAAATTGGAAGATTCCGAAAGCGGAGGAGATTGCGGAGGTCCCATCAAATCGATCTCTCAGATCCTAACCCTAACTTTGTTAATTTTATGTTAGACTTAATTGTAGACTAAGTAGTATTGTAAATTTTCATATAAATTTAATTAAACTTGTTTTCATAATAACAGGAAAATTAAAATAAAGCTAAAAGTTTAAAAAAAAACAATAATTTAATTTTCACAATTTGATTCTTAAAAAAAAATTTTCTTAAACAGGCTATAGTTGCGACTAATCTAGGTAATTTTAACAAAACTTAAGTCTGAGCCCTGCTTCTAACGTAGCAAAACGAAAAAATAATTACATATGACATATGGCTTAGTATTGCATCTAAAGACAATCTAAAGACAATTGCATCTAAGCTTTATTTATCACCCATTGTTTTAATAGCGGTAAAGTAATTATTTTAGGAACGGTTTTTCTATCATAGAAGTGTAGCGAAGTTCTGATGTTGAAAAAGTTAGTTGTTTGTACAAGAACTTAAATTTCGACAAATCATTACGGTGGACAATCCGACCGATTCCTAGACAATGCTACCTATATCGACTCGGCGTTTCACATTTATCACGATTATACAAACATTATTACCGAGTTGAATTCTTCTATGAGTTGCATATTTCATAACACATATATAACAGACAGTTAAGTAAATAGCTAGAGGACACAGATTATGCGTAATACATAATAATAATATGATTTATAAATAAATAGAATTTGCCTTTAATCTTTCCTTTCCGAAATAATTATACCCTGAACCCATTGAAAATGGGTAAAAAGGGTATTATGTATTTGTGCAAATGTATGTAACAGGCAGAAGGAAGCATCTCCGACCCCATAAAGTATATATATTCTTGGTCAGCATCAACATCCGAGTCGATTTAGCCATTGCCGTCTGTCTGTCCGTCCGTCAGTCTGTCCGTTTGTATGTATGCAAAGAATATCAGAACCTATAAGAGCTAGAGACTTGAAATTTTAGCTGTAGGTCCTCCTAGTCCATGCGCAGATCGAGTTTGTATCCGATATTCGATCATTTGCCCCGTTTCCAAGTAATCGATAAAAATCGAAATAGAACTCCTATTTTTTGAGCAATTTTGGTAAATAATAAGAGCTAGAGTCACCAAACTTGATATGTAGCTTCTAGAATTATATATATGTATATATCAAGTATCTTTCATTTTATAGCTATCGCCACCTCCCTGCTACCACCGAAAAGCTATAAATCATGTTAGTAAACCAACTTATATTGACTACCTAATTAAGCCACAATTTAAATGCAATTGTCATTCTGAGAATACACGAATGTTTTATAGTACAATAAGATCTACTACTGAAAATTTCATTAAGATCGCTTAAGAAACACGAAAGAAAATGTGTTTTGGCCTGCAAACACGTACAGCAGCAAAAGCAAATTCCAAGAATTTCTGTATACATGTACACACACACATTCATGCGCGTCTTCTTTGAATTCTAACAACAGCGTTGCATTGCGATTGTGTTGTTTTCTGTGCTGCTATTTTAAATAATTAGTGTGGCTGTTGACTAGAACCTCTTACTTGTTTAAATGTTAAATACCCAATCATTTGTATGACCCTAAGTGATTTTTTTTGATTTTGTTTGGAAAAACAGCCTCAATTGCCGCGATGGGGTTAATAATGGCAGCTTTTGCATAAACTTTTATGAATGTACATGCTGTAGGATTACCCTTTTTTGTCTAGAGGTTAATTGATGATCACATAGTGGAATCCTTTAATTAGTGCTTCCTTTTTTTCAGTGCTCAATCGCAGAACGAACGAAAAAACGGAGAGAGGGAATAATGGCAACATGTTCAAATTATGCAGGCTCTGATCAAGTTGCACCACCTGAACGCTATTGGGGCATCACATGCCACAAACAGCTCTACTTAATTGCGTGGAAGTGCAACCACCCCCTTCTCCACTGGGAAGTATTTACCCCTAGGGAGTCATTCACCTAACACAAACGCAGCATAGGAATCGAATCCAGCAAGTGACGCAAGTGCACAACAGACTCGTATTTAATATTTCATGGATTCCATGTGTTGTCGTGTGGCTTATGGGCCAAACGCAGCCTGACACTTACGAGTGGGTGTAGTGGATGGTTAAAAAATACGTCGCGTAGGCGCTGTGTATTGAGGTTAACACATATCAGCGTTAAAAGGCAAACAAAAGGAAATCAATCTTTGTGGGCACTTGGAGTTCATTGCTAGGCATATATATACATACCAACATATACTATATTTGTTGCTAATCGAATCATGAATTTAAGTGTTAACCATGTTATAAGGTTATAGAGCAGGGTTCTAGGGGAATATTTGCATCCGTTAGTGGACTTTTTCTATATGGTTTATGACCTAAATTGAAAGTGCACACGCCCGCGTCACATTATTACTCATATATAGACGTACACACTCATACACACAAGCATAATTCTAAATATGCTCACCTGTGCCTGTTGATTTCTCTACCCCGTGAGATCGCACGAAAGTATGCTACACTTTTGTTTTATAAGTCAATACCACTTAGCCCGTAACAATGGTAGCCCCATATACATAAGTATTTAGGGATGCATGTGTGTGTTTTTTATTTTATTTTTTTTGTATAGGAGGGAAAAGCATTAAAAGCCGAAAAGTATGGGGCTTGCACCCACTAAAAACCCACCTACTTGCCGCTATTGCTATTGTTATTGTTTTTTAAAAAACTCTCCATCTATTATTTTGTACCAAATATAAATTCCTAAATGTTTAATTAAATTGTGTGTGAAACCTCACAAAAATATTCAGTGCAAGTTAATTTTTGTATTAAGTAATTTTTTTGGCCTTGGTAACCTTTTTGCGATAAAAAATATTTTCGGGTTTCTAAAATTTTGTTTTGAAAGGCATAAAATCGAAAGCATTATATATGCAAGTTATGCCATCTTTCGTTCCTAAACATATAAAATACCAAACATTTTCTGTAAATAAAGTTCCAAACTATTTTTTTTAACTTAACTATTTTTCTTTTCAAAATTCATATGAGATATTCTGCGCCTTATAAATGTTGATTCATTTAACCACATTTTGTAGTTTTTTTATTTAATTTTAATCACTTTCATTTCACTTGTCGTATATATCGTGCATATTTATTTATTAAATATTTTTTAAATACAATCAGTTATATCTTCTCTATTATAAACTAAGAGTTTTGTTTGCGCATACCACATAGTATAAAATGTTGGCTTCAGTTTAAACTGTTATTGGAAAGTTTCTTTTTTTTTTTTTAATTAAAAACTATTTTAGTAGAAATGTACACAAAAAAGTAGAATTAAAATCAATTCATTCGCATTTTTTGCGCTCTCTTCCACCCGTTCCATTTTCTCTTCATTTCATTTTTGTTTAGTTGGCGACGAGCTCAGAGAGATAGTAAACGAGAAATACTCACAACTCATTTCCAGTACCATTTAGACCAGATCGAAGTTCTCCAATATGCAAAAATGTTGAGAGAATAATATGGTTCGGTTCGGAGTTCGTCTCGATGGTTTTCTGAGATAATTAATTGGAAGATTAATTCGCTTCATGGCAAAAAAATAAATTAAAATTACGGGCTTGAATCGGTTTTTACCGGTTTGACTCAAACAGGTTTGCAGCCTGGATATAAATCGCTTTATATTTAAACATTTTTTCTTCAATACCAAAAATAGTTAAAGGCAAATCTAATAAAGTTCAAATGAAATATAGCTGACAATTTAAAGATACACACAACAAATATAAAACATAGCGACAACAGATAAAAGTCTGAACCACCTTAATCAATGACCTTCTAGGGCTAAGCACAGTAATTGAAAATCAATGCAGAACAGTTAATTCAGCGAATTTGGTTAAGGGATTAGTCGGAGCCACATTGTAACCCCATTGGCTGATGTAGATGTGGGGCTAATCCAATTGCGGACGAGCATATATAAAGGCCGAGCGGAGCGTACACTGATTTTGTCTTGGGCAACGACGGATCCATCAAAGTGGCCAAGCGGACCATGGAGTTCAATATAAGTGGCATCGGAAATGTGTCGACGGTGCTGCGACCGGAGGCGCGTCTGGCGGCCGAGTCGCGTTTGCTGGGCTGGAATGTGCCGCCGGACGAGCTGCGTCACATACCCGAGCACTGGCTAACGTATCCGGAACCGCCGGAGTCGATGAACTATCTGCTGGGCACACTCTATATATTCTTCACGCTGATGTCGCTGATAGGAAATGGCCTGGTCATTTGGGTCTTCACAGCAGCTAAATCGCTGCGAACACCCTCGAACATACTGGTCATTAATCTGGCCATCTGCGATTTTCTGATGATGAGCAAAACGCCCATATTTATCTACAACAGCTTCAATCAGGGCTTTGCGCTGGGCAACTTGGGCTGCCAGATCTATGGCATCATTGGCTCCTACACGGGCATCGGCGCGGGAGCGACCAATGCGTTTATCGCCTACGATCGCTACAATGTGATCACGCGGCCCATGGAGGGCAAAATGACGCACGGCAAGGCCATAGCCATGATTATATTCATCTATATGTATGCCACGCCATTTGTGGTAGCCTGCTATACGGAAGCGTGGGGTCGCTTTGTGCCCGAAGGCTATTTGACCTCCTGCACCTTCGACTATCTGACGGATAACTTCGATACGCGCATGTTTGTGGCCACCATCTTCTTCTTCAGCTTCTTCTGCCCCACCAGCATGATCCTGTACTATTACAGCCAGATTGTGACCCATGTATTCAGTCACGAGAAGGCGCTGCGCGAGCAGGCCAAGAAAATGAACGTCGAATCGCTGCGGTCCAATGTGGACAAGAGCAAGGAGACGGCTGAGATACGCATTGCCAAGGCGGCCATTACCATTTGTTTCCTATTCTTTGTATCCTGGACACCGTACGGCGTCATGTCGCTGATTGGCGCCTTCGGGGACAAGAGCTTGCTGACGCCGGGCGCCACAATGATACCGGCCTGTACCTGCAAAATGGTGGCTTGCATAGATCCGTTTGTGTATGCGATCAGTCATCCCAGATACCGTATGGAGCTGCAAAAGCGTTGTCCCTGGCTGGCCATCAGTGAGAAGAATCCCGAGACCAGCACGGTGGCCTCCACGACGACCACACACGAGCAGCAGCAAACGACTGCAGCGTAGGACTGCAAAATACCTGATGACCCTACAGAAAGGACATTAACTCAACTGAACTCGACTCGTAATAGAAAATGCCAGGAAAAAACTATAACAAACTCACGAAACAAAAAGAAAATGTGCTAACAATAATATTATAGATTCTGATTATTATTTGTAGCATGCTCTTAAATAAATAGTTAATTAATGCAAGCAATCAAAAGGAAACACACGGTAGTCGGTAAAAACCCCTATCCCTGTCCAGCTGCGAAAAAAAAACAAAAGAAAGGCATGCAACGAATACTCTGTTGTCAGTTGAAACTGGAAACTTCTCCCGCCCCACCCCCTCAGTAAATGCTCAGCAGCGAAACAAAAGAAGAGCAACGGCGGAAACTCAATGCGTGTAAGTCTAATATTTTGTGCAAGTTTTCGTTTGCCGAATGCAATCCACAAAAGAATCCAAAGCAAAGCTCTCTCTGACTCTCTTACACATTGGAATGCGTTTGCGCATTAAAACGCAAGCCGAACGAAAGGTAAGAGGCAAAGTGGACGCAGTTCCTTATCAAAACTTAGCATCCGCGGGCTGATAACATCCCGAGTCCCACATGATTTCTCAACTTTGTTTTGCACAGGTTCCACATTCGTTCTACATGACAAAAATGTATCTTTAACCTAGATCATGCGCTCCACAACATTATCTAAGCACCCCCACCGCCTAGCCCTCACCAACACAAATACATATATTTGCATTGGTATTTTGTTACGGCGGTTAGACGACTACACACAGCTGCCGCAAGACCCACAAGCCAAAGTGTTGCGCCGTTTTTTTATGTGGCGCCTCATAATTAGCCTCGTTCACAAAGTAAAGAAGAGAATATTGGTTTTATTGCTATAATTTATTTGTATAGAAGTGTATATTATATATAAAGTGATAAGATTATAGGGATTATAGATTATGAATGAAGACTCACTCTAAAAATAACTATAATTTTATTCGTTTTTAAATTGGGCGGTTAGACTATTTCAATTATTTTGCAAAATTCTTGTTGATACTTAGTTACCCGTTTCAGCAACAGATTCTCCTTCTTCCTCACTGTCAGTGCCTAGCGGCTATAGTCGCCATTGCCAGCGCCTTTTCATGCCATGCTTTGCGGCAAGCCCCAACCGCGAACAGAACAGCGGCAGCAAGTGACGCAGGACATAAGCCAAAATCTTTCGCAGCCACCGACCGTGGCGACAGCAAAAACGAAACAAAATTAATGAAAATCACCCACAAGCACACGTCCGTTTCCCCTTCTCACACACATACATATATATATATATATATATATACAAAGCGAGACAATTAAAATAGCAGCCACAAACGTCCTTGCGGTTCACGCCAGCTGAGTGACTGCCGCTAGGACCGACAGCCAGTCCCCGGCACATTTTTCTTTCACGAATTTCACATTCGCACTCATTAATTAAGATAATTAGGCCTTTTCGCCGCCTTCCAAGTTCAACCTCCAAAAAGGCAACCAATAAACGAAAGGCCAGTCTCACGAAACAGTTACTCGAAGGACGACGTCGCAGCCGCCGTCGAAATCGAGGTCACGCCTTAAGTGACAGTTCGAAGCTTGTCGAACGGCACTAATAATAGTCATGGTCCTGGACTGAAATTTTGTACGACTTGCATGGGCACTTGAAGCCGTTAATGAGCGCCCTTAAACTGAGCACACACACCTATTCGGCTTGCGGGTATGCACGCACCACCTCCTTGTGTACCTTACCTGTATTAGTAAGCATGCGGTGCCCCAAACACCAGGGAGCCATAAAGCAGTAAAACTAGTTTACATATAAATAAATAAAAAGCCATAAAAAATCAAGTCTTTATTTCATAATTAGTAAATGTTATGTAAAAAAAACACACGCACACATATCATCTAATTTTATTTGTAGCTTAAAGTTATATAGTCTTTATACCATGAACCAATTAAAAATGGGTAAATGGGGTATAACGTATTTGAGCAAATGTATGTAACAGGCAGAAGGAATCCATCGATTAAAAACGATATCGAAATCCTGGTTTTCGCGCTAATCTGAGAGCTAGAGCCACCAATTTTGACATGCAACTTCTCGAATGATGTATTTATATATATATATATAATGGTGTATTTTATAGCTATAAAACCCACCACCACCACCTCATAACTATAAATCAAATAAATAAATCGATTGGAACTACCCACCAATTTAAGCTACAATTTTAATGATGTTTTCTTATTGAGGAAATACGAATATTCTATATCAAGGTACAAAGCGGCGGGAAGCAGTTTGATTGATAAAGCCTCAGCAACCGAGCGCGTAGCGCGAGCTATAATATTTCTGATTAGTATCTGTGTATGTATGAGAATGCATGTATCAGTGAACAGTAAGAATTTTCAAATTAAATCAGTAAATTGTTAATTTTCGCTAAGCATCATGTTCTTATTCAAAAGTCCATATCTTTATTAAAGCTTACGGAAGAGTGGAATCATATGTATGTACATATATTCTCATACATATGTACATGCGTTTTAGTCTTAGGACTATACAGTGCACACACACATACGTACATTACATTATGATAATGTACATAGATATGTTTGTACACATTATTTTCTTTCCAAAAGTAGTAGAAGACCACTTTGGAACTTGTTAAAACTGTTAATATAAATCTGCGCGCGTAATGTAACAATTATACTTCGTAAATATTTATAGTAATTTCATGAATTTAATAATTTATAATACGCATATGTAAAATTAGTAGATGGTCTCAAAGAAGCTGACTAATGCATTAATAAATATTATCATTGGTTGATGTAGTTAGATATGTGATTCTACTAATAAATTAAGTAGCGCGCCATTTTCCTATGTATATCTAATCGTGGTGGTAGGAGAAAAAATATATTCCCACACTCTTACGTCAAATGTCCTCAGAAGAAGCAGCAATCGATTTTTGCGTGTTGTCGGTTTTCGATTGCCGATTAGTCATTTATAAATTTTTTTTGCTTTTTAAACAAATAAACTATTTGGACGGCTCGGAGCTGTTAATAATAAATTGTTTGCAGTGTTTCGTAATTATTTTAATTAAAACTGGACATTATTGATAAAAATAATTGTTGGCAGTTACAATTTGGAGTGTATGTGCAAGTGTTTGATATATTCTAATTGGGAACCGTATTTTCGATATAGAATTCGTGTTTTTTGAGCAAATCTCTTAGGTGTAAAGTGCTTAGAGCTAATCATCTAATGTAGCTTCTTGAATAGTATTGTTTACAGATCAAGGAGCTTTCATTTTATAATTTTAATTTAGATATTGGATAGATATTGACGTAATTATTTTATTAATTTTGTTTATGGTGATTTTATGGACCTAAATGTTTTGATTGTAATTGTTTTGCGGCCCATAACCATATTTGGTAGATTCCTTTAAAGAAAAAATGAGATTAATATTAGTCAGAGATAAAATTCAGTGCACATCTTGTAGTAGAACGTGCAATAATTAAAATTGTTTCGCATAAATTGGTTCCAATTATATTACGATTCAAGTTTTGAATCGAAACCCTAGTTCATCAACCACGTTTATGCACAGTTTGTTCGAATTGTAATCATCTCACAGTGAAAACAAATTATATATTTTTAAAGTTGCTTACCGTACAATTTTTTTTAAATTTCTAATTGATTTTGGAACAATTTGCTTTCCTTGCTTGATATTTGTTTTTTTTTTTGGTTCTTTTTTATTTGCAATGTAAAAATTTTGCAGCAAATCTTGCTCTAATTTTTGTGGCTAATTGAAATTAACATGATTCTTGTTGTCTGTCTCTCTCTCTTTGTATTTCTCTCGGCTAGCCGTGTGGCAGTGTCATATTTTGTGGTTCTGCGCCAATCCTAGTACTCTGCTTTGTTTTGTGCCAGGATGCGACGCGATGAGTACACGAGTATTGTGTATACGCCCACTACTAATCCCTTGTTAATTGCAATGCTTCTCATTCGACAGTCAATTTGCATTTAAATTACAAAATTTTAAAGCTTTTTTGTTTTTGTTGCCAACTGCGTTGTGCGCCCTCATACTATACGAGAAGCAGGAGGTACCATATATTCGGTGGCGGTCGCAGCAGTGGAGCATTTGCCATTGCGACCATTCACTTGAAATACTAGAGACTTTCTGATCTGTTGTGGATTCTGTCACGTTGGCCATCGGCAGGCTAATTCTCAATGAGCATGGCTAGTGTCGGGCAATGTTTTCGGGTAATTTTGTGCGAATTGCTCGACTATCAAAAAGAGCAACGAAATTGCCGTGTTATAGCACAGCCCGTCCTGACCCAGAACTTTGCTCACTGATGCGGACGCGAGATGCTGGCTGCTGTTTGCCGTTTAATAAACGCGGCGCCCAGCACGACGCACGCACCAAACCCCCTGTGCGTGTTGACCTTATTATGTTAACTTTGTGTGCAGTGCATAAACTGTGATAAAAGTCAAAAATTCTACGCAGCGTTGCTTGCCCCATGTTGCCTGCCCACGTTGCCACATTTGTAATGTCTGCCTGCTTGGCTTGGCTTTGGCTATGGCTAACAACAATTTCATGGCATACAATTATTAGTTCGTATTATTTATGGCTTCATTTTAGCTTAAAAAGTTGCGCCAGCCGAGACAAACTCAACCATTTCTTATATACACATAGACATACTAAATTCATTTCGATTTTTTATGAGCTATCAGAAGTGCCGTCCCTTTAAATTTTTATAAACCTTATTGACAAGCAATCAAAACTGGTTTTAAAGCAATTAAATTTGTAATTAAAAGTTGGCTCAATCTCTTTGAGTAATAAATTAATAATTGATTGATTGAGTCCAGATATTCTGTTTCTTATCGTAGTCCTCAAATTCTCAACAACTTTGTTATAAAGAGTCAATGAAAGATCCTTAGGCATAGATACGAAAAGCAATGTCATATTGTGGGACCTCTAATATCGAATGGATTTTTCAAAATTTTTCGTAGAAAGAAGATTTTTCGAAACTTTTAAAATAAACACCAATGAAAAGCCAATATAAATTTCATATCATATAGCTGTATCAGTATTGATAAACCAAAAGTTGGTTATTGTATAAAAAACCAACACTTGGCATGTTTACTTGAAAATCTTTAATTATCAGAATTTTTCACATTATTCGTCTTAAATTGAACATTTTGAATATTTTATAAACTAT